AAGAAAACGATGTGTAACGGAATAATTTTTGTGTCGAGTCAACTCTCAGCTTGGTTTTTGCACGTTGTGAATAGTCTCACAATATCAAAGGAGCTTGTAAAATCAATATCACGCGTGATATTGCGAGCGCATGAGAGCGGAAAAATATCAATTGATTGCTGTTTTTGCCAACACTGGGAGCCTTAATAAAACGTAGTAGGGTAGGAAGGGGCAAGATCGCCACCCGGGGCAAGTTGAGCACCCTTCAATTTTACATTAAAAATCATATATTTTTCAAAATTGTGCCTAAAATGATCCTACGATGCAACGTTCCAAAAATGGTTTAGAAATATTTAATAACTACCGAGAAATTGAAGATAATTTGCCGAATGAAGAAAATCCTCTCTTTATAATGATAATTGACTATTGCTGTTTTTTATTGTTACAACTTTCAAATGTTTCAACTTCGTGATAAACTAATAGGAATACCTATATATATAAAAATGAATTTCTGTCTGACCCTTATATACTCGGAAACTACTGAACCGATCGGCGTGAAAATTTGTATGCTGGGGTTTTTGGGGCCGGGAAAGGTTCCTATGATGGTTCGAGACCTCTCCCCTCTCTGTAGGGGGGGGGGGGGGCTCCCATACAAATGAAACATAAATTTTAGCATAACTCGAGAACTATTCAAGCTAATGGAACCCAATTTGGTATGTGAAAGTCATAGGTGGTAGCCCCTTGGATAAGGGGAGAGGGGCTACGTACAGTAATGCATGCCTTTTTTTTAATTGGCGCATAAACTCAAGCTAATATTGAATCCCGAGCAAGGCCGGGCACACTCAGCTAGTAGGAATATAAAAACTCAAAAATATCATAAAATAACAAATTCTGCTATAGCTGCTATAGTTTTCTCTAATATATCATCGAAAAAATGGATTTTTTTTTAAATAGCATTAATGTTTATGGTAAATTCTGGTAAATTCTATCAGAAAGTGAATTCAAGTTGGGTACGTTTGTCGTGATCGATCAGAAAGTGTTCCAGGGTTATTCAGGAATAATTTCTGAAAGATGTCTGATCATTTGATAAGGTTTTCTCTAATATATCATAAAAAAAATTAAAATAATATTAATTTTTATTTAAATCAATGGTAAATTCTATCAGAAAGGGAGTTCCAGTTAGGTACGTTGGTCATGTTCAATCATCAAGTGTTCCAGGGATATTCAGGAATAATTTCTGAAAGATATCTGATCATTTGATCAGGTTTTCTCTAATGTATCTTAAAAAAATGGATTTTTTAAAATAATATTAATTTTTATTTAAATCACTGGCAGATTCTATCAGAAACTGATTTCCAGTAAGGTAAGTTGGTCAATGACCGATCAGAAAGTTATCAAGGAATTTCCCATGATGGAGTTTTCCAAGCAGGACCGTGCGTTTCCATGATTATTCATGAAATTAACGGTTTTGTTCGAAATTAGTATATTTTTAAGGGATGCATATAAAAAAAAACCTGTGTTTGTCCTCAAATAGGCTAGAATGCACTTAAATATAATGTTTTTTATATGAAATCAAGCTTAAATTTTTCGAGAAATCCAATTCCGTGCCCAGAATTCATATATAAACCGATTTAAACAGTTTAGTGAAAATAAGACGTACGTTAATAATGAATTACAGATTCGTAAAGTACGCATTTGGTACGTCACATTTCCATAGAAATCTGGTCGATCGACTTGGTCATGGCTTAAATCGTATGTCTATCCAGTGGGACTCGGGTTTTCCAGGAAGCTTTGAGGTACGTTCAAAATCCTTGAAGGTGCGCTATGGTACGCTATTGGTACATTCCGAAACACGTATCAACTTTAAAATTCGTTAAGTTTGTCCCGCTGTATAGATTGACGTAGGTGTGCAAGATCAATTTTGTTTTCTCGTCTTCCATCTAGTACAACTTTTTTAATACTGCACGTATCGAGACGAAACTTTAACCACTGAAACACGTGTACTTTCCAAACATATCGAGGTCAAAACATTCAAAGTCCGACCACTAGAGGCGCTGATATAGAATAAATAAAGTGTCTGGATTCTAGGTGGACCAGACTTTTTTGTTTCAATTGTAGGAACTTTTAACAAACATCAACACTTTCCCAATATTTTAACTATCTACGTAGTTCATGGATAGCTTCAATCTACAAATTTCCGCAAATCTCAAAGTTTTGATGACGTTTTAAGTCCAAAATTTCTTCAAAGCTCAGGAATAATATGTTTATGATTTAAAGAATCAAAGATTTAGTTTTTAGGATGGTGAACGTGGAAAATTGAGAAATAATTTAGGATTGATGGATTTTTAAGTTCACAGACATGGACACAGAAAATATCATCATATAAAAAATAAATTCTCTGCTATAGCAAAAAATGCGAGATCTCATCATAATAGGCCTTTTTAATGCACCACCAACGTAGAGAGCACCACGCGAGTTCAAGAGGAAACGTCAACCAAACCGTTTGTTTACATCAGAAGAACGATTCTTCACAACGCAAATTAAATCATTTTTCATTGAACATCTTGTCAGTTTTCATAGGTAATTGTCTTATTTTACGAGTTTCTACACATCTGAACTAATCTGCACCTAAACTATTCACATACAAGAAATCCGGAAGATCATAACCACTAAGGCACTATTGGAATTTTGCAAAATATTCCTGGAAACTTGCAAAAATGGTACAGAATGAAATGTTTCAACTATATATCAAGATTTCGAGCATCTCAGATGCATCAATTTATCAGGAAAAGTGAAAAAGTGTTCCGCTTCCAATGTCTCACGGCAAAAATTTGTGCTCACCACACTCTGCCTATGCTTCGGTCGTCACTTTGATTATTCATTAGCTGTCAAATTTACTTTTGAGAATAATCCTTAAATACTTTCCAAAATAATCCTTAAATAATTTCAAAACAAAAAATCCACGCAAGGAGAGGAGAAGGTTTAAAACTTCAAAAACTGTCATTCCAACTCAAATGTATTGAAAGTTGTGGTCAATGACACCGATTTTATTCAAACTTTGACAAAATGCTTTTCTCGATATTCTAAGGAATTGCATTTTTGGATTTTACTCAAAAATGCTTGGTTTCCTCTCGGCTACAACCCTGGATTTTGTGATTTTTAGAAATTATATCTTTGAATAGAGATTACTCCGCAACCAAACAAGTAATCTTGACCCACCGTTTTGGCGAGTTTTAAAGGAAAATCAAATGGATTACTCACAATTTGATTTGTGATATTCAAACTACAGTAAAGAGCCAGATTATTGGATAGTACCCAAATCATACCGCGCGAAATTTATTGTTTTTCATTATATTGACCTGAAATTTCCTCCACATGTTTGAAAAGCTATGCACTAAGTAGATGTGTTCTGAAAAGAAAATGATATGAAAATATGGTACACACTTAATTTTTTCGCCGAGATTCCAACAGCCGAGTAGTTCTGCAATTTATTTTGCTGAGATTCAGTCAAACGATTGCCGAGACTCAGCTAACAAATATCATATTGCTGAGATATCAGCTAACAAACAGATATTTTGCAGATATATCAGCAAAAGTAAATGCCGAGGTAACCGGCTGTTGGAGATTTTACCGAGCTAGATTAAGTGTGTATATGAGATATGGCAAGATGAGTGACTAGGAAATTTTGAGCTTTTCAGTCGGAAAATCACTACATTTTATCTTTGAATAGAGATTACTCCGCAACCACATAAATTTTGTATTAGGGTGGTTCAAAATGTCGATTTTGCGATCATTAAAAAAAAATCTGGTCATTTGGTTTTGAACTGAGTGTATTTCAAAGTTTTAAGGAGCATTTCATCGTTTTCATGGCACAAAACCCATTTTCTCGTTTTGTCCCAAGTAACATTTGAATTTTTATTGAATACTACAAAGCTGCTATGAAACAACATCCATAAAACCCTGGTCAAGGCTGCTTTGCCATTGATGCATTCACCAAAACATCATTGATGCTAGAATTTGTCTAGTTGGCCCACCCTGGAGAAAGTTCTAAAAGGTGTATTTTCGAAGCTCTTCAAGATTGATTTACTGCAAAATGGTTGTATGATAAACGCACTGAGAACCATTTCAAACCCGTATTTAAGCTACAATAAAAACTATTTAGCAACAATTAAAACCATTATCCGAGCCATTTACCCTAGCCGCTTGCTAAGTCCACTAGAAACACAACAATCAAGATAAAAAAGGATCCATGAATACCATCCGATCTTGTCGAAATAATTAACATTAAAACTGATCGTATAAAAATCCTGCCAAATTTCCAAAATTATAAAACAGTTCTCATGAAGTGGCCTAATTTTCGGTGCCATATAAAATATGATGTGAAATGAACGTGAAAACATCGAAAAACTTGAGTCCGCCCACGGAAAACATCGATTTTACTATTTTTTTTACTTTAAGAAAAAAATATAGGTATTCTTCAGATCAATCATTAAGCTTAATCTAAATTTTTGTTTTCCATGATTTTTGCATTCTAAATATTTTCTCATTGCTAAATTGACTAAAATAAAGTTATATCCATGGAAATATAGATTGAAAATCGAAGATCGTAAAAAACAAACAAAATAATTGTAAAATGGCGGAAGCATAACAATTGTATTTATCTAAATCCATTTTCCTTGATCCTAATACCCCAGACAGACTATGGGTTATATCATGTAATATAGGCTGTCTTGCAATGAGCACTCATACATCTAGTTTTCACTGGAAATCCTATATATGAGTGCTCATTGCAAGACAGCCTATATTACATGATATAAGCCATAGTCTGCACAGGGTATAACCCGTCCAGATTTATGGCAGCATTTAAGGCGGCAATGTTGCCTTCAAAATGTTAAACGTCAAAGTTTGTTTATCTTTCGATAGTTGCGCTGTGCGATTCAGCGTTCTTCCAGGCGATTCTCTACCGATGGCTTGGAAGCAGTTACTCCGAAAGTGTTCACAACATTTCGCATTTCGCACAGCTGTTGTAACCTGGATTATTCCCGAAAAGATCCCCTTCTTCCGGATGGTTCTGGAAGTGCACCATCAAACGATGCAGGAATGTACGGTTGAATGAAATTTTTCGAAGAGATGACCCTTTTGCCGAATAAAATCACAGCTATGGATCGGAAACCAACTAGTGTCCGCTAACTGACAGTTTCAGTGGTTTGCTTTCGGTACTGACGCAAGTTATACCGATCATCATCTATTCGCAAGGTCTGGAGATGGCTGTTTAGATACTGATTTGACAATGTTTTATGATGAAGTAATGAAATTGGGTTGTTAGCGGAATGCTTAAATAAAACAGCAAAAAAGGTTATCTTCCATTTAATTCCACTTAATTAATTTTGGTATCCATGACAGATACGTATTTCGACTACAATGTGCAGTCTTCATCAGTGTCATTCCCACTAAAAACTATTCAAAATCTAACCCCCTTTTTTTAATGTTTTATGAATTTGAGGACTACGCTCACTTCACTCTTATCCACTAGATGTTCAGTCGTTGATGGTACCCGTTCCGCCGGACGTGCTGGTTCTTCTAAAGAACTAAATGTTACTGAAATCAACTTCCCTTCGGTCGTTAGCATCGCTTGAATTTTTCCTCCTACTTCGTTTATCCTTCGAGATATCCTTGTCATAAATTTGGCTTTTATTCACTATGAGGATCCATCGTTAAAGTTCAATTTTTAAACAGAGGAGACTTTTTGATACACTTTAAAAAGCCTTAAAGGCAACAATATATGCCTTTTGCTCTCATTTAAAACCTAATGGTTTTATGGTTGCTTTTATAATGATAGAACACGTTTATAGAGTTTGTTTATCAAGACATTAATAAAAAATCGCTGATGAAGTTTATGATTGATTTAAAGAACAGTTTTATGGTGGGATTGAGAGCTACTTAAAATTTAATTTTAAAACAATACAGTTTTTTACTTCTTGCCAGACTGTAAAAGGTTTTTAAAACAGCAAAAAGGTGAACTACTGAGCAGGAACGTTTTACACTGAGAAATTCTGTATTTAAACTAAATGGATTATTCATTTCCCTTATAAAACCATCATAAATCAGAGTGGATGCCAAATGATTGCAAAATTGTTACTTGGGGTATCATTTGCGCCGATTTTACTACAAGAATCTAGGCCACCATTCAAAAGCAATTACCAAAAGCAATCAATATACAGTTGTCCGGGAAGCTACTTAATGGTCTGTCAGCACTGCTAACTATCCAAACCAGATGATTCTGACGTAGATTTACCATTTCACTTTTACACCTTTGCAAAGTGTGAGTCCTACTTTTCTATTCTTAGCATCCGTGAACCGGCAATGCACCAACAAAATAAATCCATCCTTCTGTCTAAACTGGATGATTCATAACTGGTGACTGTATGCCGTATATCCTACACTTCATTCGACAGTTTCATAGAAACGGTCACATCGGAGTCCGAGGCATTTGGAAATCACCGCGAGACAAATTTCCGTCACCATGGTTTTAAAATATTTTTCCTTTTATTCATGAAGTTTCATTTTCGCTGGTGTGAGCTGTGGCCGCTTTTTCCTTTCGTGATGGCTTACCACCGTCCAAACCAAACTGTTGACGACGACGATACCGTTGGCTCTGTGAGTGAGGATGCTGTGACGAAAAACGGGATCAGCCAACAACACAGCGCTGTGAGGATGATGCGGGAAATGGTAAACGCAATTTTTCGCCGGTTGTGTTTGCCTAGCGTAACGCAGTTGAATTCACCAAGAGGTATAGAAATCGGGATTAAAATTTCCCTTGACTTGTCCGCTCGAAGCGACGATGTTTCTCTGGATTATTTTGAAATCGTTTTAAAATTTTCAGATGATTTTGAAAATTATAAAAAAAGATCAAATATGCCAGCTTATCATAGGAAATCAACATTTTTGTTTTCAACCAAATCCAACGATTCAAACACCGTTTACGGCAACCAGGCACCTGCCAAACCGCGCTGTAGTGATGGCTGAAAATATGGGTCAAACCGTTTTCGCTCGCCGCACTCGACACGAAAGCGGGAAATGGTCAACGCTTGAAAATTTGTCGAAAGTCGCGCGCTCTTTTCAAACGGGTCGGAAAGTTTGTTTTCGGCGAGCGCTCTTGATGACGACGAAAGAAGGGATCCACGCTACAAAATGCACCACCGACCGACCGACTGACCGACCAAACGGTATGATCCATGGCCCGTGGATGAACATGAAGTGGTGAAAAATGATGCCACTCTGAGTCTTTTGCCCTCGTCAGCCATATCAACAAAACGGTTCATCGAGAGCCGGCGAACAGTTGGGCGTGGGTAGAACGAGGTTGCGATGATGGCGTCCAACAGTCCTGTCGAAAACTCCCGAGACGCGTGTTGCATAATTATAATACGGTCATTAATATATGAAGTCGAACTCAAGAGTACTGTTTCCGTTGGAACGGGGACGGTGGCGTTTTGCAATGCGCTTAAAAGGGTTTTAAATAGCTTCCGATAATTGGTGACGCGTTGCGTACATTGAATGAGTAATTGTCATTGGTCATTACAATTAAGACATGTTTTCTTTATGTATTTTGGATAACATGTAGTCTTGCTAAATATTTGAAAGGAAACTAGATTTTATGTGTGAATTTGGTGCTGTATTAATTCATCCTATTTTATTTCGCTTTAGCATATAATTGATCTAACGGGACAGCTTCGTGGGTGATAAACTGAATGCATCAACCAGAATGGTTAAATGGTCGAAAATAGAGTTAATATATAGCGAAATTATGCAATTATATCTTACTTATACTATTTTGCTAATACTGCTATTACGTAAGATTTCAAAAATAGATTTTCTTACGTTTCACCAAAACGGCGCCGGTGGTGTAGTGGTAAGCGTGATTGCCTCTCACCCCAGCAGGCCTGGGTTCAATACCAGTCGGCACCGCCGGGATGTTCTGAGGCATAACATCTCTGATCACGCCTTCCTTCGGATGGGAAGTAAAGCCGTTGGTCCCCGGTTCATGAGTTGATGAGTCGATAGGTAGGGTCCAGGTGTGGGAGCTGCCTTCCTGGCACGTCGGTAGCATTGATGCCCAGCACGGAAAACAAGATCGACGGAAAAAACAAACCAAAGGAAAAAAAAAAAAAAAATGCAAATTAAATTTTATGAAGATAATTTTTAGACTGAATTGTTTTTATCTGAAGCCATTTTGCATGAACTTTGTCCTTTCTAACGATACCAGATATACCGATAGGAAAAAAGTTTTTCACGATTTAATTTGAATTGAATCTTAAGCGATAAAAAAGCAAACCCTCTCACTGTTTGTAATCTGACACAATAGTTGTCGATGTTTCTTTTGCACTCCTTCTTATGCAATGGAAACATCTCAGCTGATTTCTAGCAGGAAGGAAACACCCCACTGGAGAGGGACATTTCAAACAGAAGGCAGAGAGGAGCCACCAGGCTATCGATGTGTTGCTTGAGAAAGACGGAAGGAACTCCATCAGATCCAGGCTTAAATGAAGACTTCAGTTGCGAAGCCACCCTAGTTATCATAGCGAGGTCGGTGTTGATAGCTGCCAAAGATTGACCAGACATTGGAACATTACTGGTTGCTAGAGAAACCTGAGATTATGCACAACAAATTGGTCCAAGCCCGCTAATTGATTCAACTGCTATGCAATAAGTTATTAACTTATAATTTAGGCCAAGAACTCCACGCATAACACCCCTCCCCCCATATATCAGCAACAATATATATATATATATTTTTTTTAATATAATTTGTAAAATCAAGTCTCAATGTATGTTTCAAGGTCTCCGAAACTTTTCCGAAATTTATCTTAAGTTGTATATTTAACCAAGAAATTATTTGCTGATCAGTGGGGAGCAGGAGGTTGTAAAGTTTTCGTACACTTATGTCCATGCCAGAAATTTAATAAAATTGATTTATAATTTAAATGAAAAAGGTGAGCAAGATCAACCAGATTGGAGATCGAATTCATGTCTAAGATTTCAAAATGTTTTTTTGCCTATGTTGCGATGGATGCTGCTTTGTTATGATTAAAATAATTAAAACATAAAATTTTAGCATCAGTCTCTGTGTACCGTTTTTTGGCACATCCTCCTAGTATTTTCAACTAAGGCTAACCAATGTATTCATCCATAATTGCAAACACGATAGCTCAATAGCGGTTTTCCACATGCTACCACTGAATTGCACCGAATTGGAAAGTTTATTTGTTTACGTATGGTGGAGAGAATAGAAAAATCAACTCGATTGAACTAATAACAAACCTTCGAATGCTGTTCGCTATTCTTCCCAACTACAGTCAGTGGAGGAGATATGGTTTCAGCTGTATGCTCTCGTTAATTTTTACTGCTATGGAAAACAATCTCCCAGGTTCGTAGAATAGGCCACTGAGATAATCGCGTCAGATGGAATGCGGTGTATATTTTAAATTCTTGTTTGTATGGATTTTTTCTCAGTGTAGCCCAACCCGGAAGAATCGTATTAACGTAACCTGACCAGTGTGTTGTTTGAATGTTTGGCATATTTATAATATGATTTTATGAGCTACATAAGTAGCATGTTGCGATGAGTGATTTATGAAGTTTCCGAGTGTTTCATGAACATATTGAGATTTATTTGAGAAATCATTCTATATTTTTCATCTAAAATTCATGACTCATCGATCAGTGGAAACGTGCAAACCAGAGGGAATCAACAATAAAACCTAAAGAGTATATAGCTGACTATCATGCTGGCTCGCGTCATGTCATTTAAATTCCCTTAATCCTCAATTTGTATTGCTCTCAATCTCAATTCGGCACTGAAAATAATACTCTTCCACTTATTTCACTCCTCGTCAGTCGCTGCGATTCAAACCAAAGTAGCTTCGAGATAATTACGTGCAATCAGAAACCAGATCTTGATTCCTCACCGAGTTGCATCCAAAACGGGGATTGAATGACGCGCCACTTTCCCGAGTATAGGCCGCAACGGAAGGAGGAGGGTGTGAAGAATAAATAACAATTAAAGTGTCAGATAGAGAAAATCTCGAAATGGCCCCGACGACAGCAACAACAAGGAAC